TGAAGCATTTCATGGAGTGTGAGGGGAAAATGATCTCGATTCCAATTTATGTCGAAAGCAGCACTGTCGACGTACGTTTGCATGATCTCCCAGATGACATGGAGAATGTGGCTATCATCGACCATATGCGCCAGTATGGAGAGGTGATAGCAATTCGCAGTGAGGTTTGGAAGAGTTATTTTCCAGGATTCAGCAATGGAGTGCGTGTTTTAAAAATGAAACAAATTCTTCCCATCCCGTCATTCATCACCGTGGATGGCGAAATTACACTGGTATCATACCCAAACCAAGTGAAAACATGTCGCAATTGTGAGCGCAAATCTCACCCAAAGCAACGTTGCTCCGAGGTGGCGGCAGCAGCAGCAGCAGCAGCAAACGAAGACACTACTCTCAGTAGCAGCACCAACAGCAACTACCTTAACAGCGACACTAGCAACATGAACAAGAACAAGAACAACAACAACAACAAGAACAACAACAACGCTTACAAACTCAAATCAAACGCAGCCAACAGTAAACAGTGGCCCTCTCTCCCGAAATCGATACCAATTGCAGACCAACAGCAAAACAAAACCGAAATGAAACGCCAGCGATCAGTCGACTCGGACACCACAAACAATGAAATAAAAAAATTGAACACAAATGGCTCAAGCGAAAGTGATAGCAGCCTGATCTCTGTGAGTGGTGATATTTGTTCCTATATGCAGCGCCCATATTCGATCCCAAATCTTTCGCACATTGACGATCCTGAAGAACGGTGTGCATTGATCGAGGATAGCAAGAAGAGGATTGATGCCATCTATTTAGAGCAAATAGAAAATAAGAAAAAGAAAAATAATGTATTTTAGCTATGATTCAAGGGCATAGCCAGGTTTCGGCTAGGGAGGGGCGAAAAAAATTCTATGGAAAATTTGGCCGAATGCCATTTCACCGAACGCCATTTCACCGAAAGCCTTTGTTATGCTGGGTTTAGAGGGGCAGTTGACCCCTAATGCCCCCCTCTGGCTACGCCTATGCTATGATTTATTGTATTTTGATAGACCTCGGCTCCGTAAAGTTTCGACTCCGTAAATAAACGAATAGTAAAAACAAAGTAGGGGAAATGGCTCTAATGTTGGCTTATGGATCTAAGATTGGGCCCATCGCTAATATATTAATTTTATCTAGATGTACGCGTCATTGGGATAGTACTAATGGATATTTTTGGCCGCTATTGAAAATTTAGTCGATTGCTGAATTTATGTATGGGCCCAAATTAGGGGCATTTAGGCCAACATTACATCCATTTCCCCTATATTTACGATTTTTCATCATTTTTTTGCGTCGATCTTGTTTTCTGTCGATCTTGTTTTCCGTGCTGAGCACCAATGCTACCGACACCAGGGAGGCAGCTCCCACATCTGGACCCTACCTATCGTCCCATCAACTCGTGAACCGGGACCAACGGCTTTACCACAGACAAACAGACATAACACATTGAATATTTCTCACTGTAAATCATCGTCGCTAAAACATTACCGCCATCTGATGAGTACACTGTGGTGGGTAGTACGCTGAACAGATGGCGGTAGTGTGTAAACGTCAAATGCAAGGGAATTGACTATGCGCGCTACCGGTGGCGGTACTACCAACTACGATACTTTTAAATTGACCGTTAAAACCTTGTTCGATGAACAACTTGCGAGAGTTATGTCTGTTTGTCTGTGGCTTTACTTCGAATTATACGTGATCAGAGATGTTTTGCCTCAGAACATCGCGGCGGCGCCGACTGGGATTGAACCCAGGCCTGCTAGGGTGAGAGGCAATCATGCTTGCCACTACACCACCGGCGCCGCTATCATTTATTATGTCATTGTTTCGTCTGATGTTTATAACTTTTGAAAGCATTAACTTCTTCCTCTTCTTCTTCTTAGTCTTCTTCGTCGTCGTCTTCTTCTTCTTCATTACTTTATTCAACGTCGGTTTCTGTTCCGCAATCTAGTGCCAATCACCGACGGACATCGATTGCCATCAATTAACCGCAATCGAATGTGCAGGAGGACACCTTCCACACCTGCGTACACAGCACAAAATAAATTTTAATATTACATCCAAGAGGATGCACTCATCGAAAATCTCATGTAAAATGTAAAATCTCATGCCACGAAAATAAACAAATGCAGTAAAAGCAACGTAATGTCAGTTCATGCACTTATTAATGATAATTTTGTCCTTTTTGGCAAGTAATATTATACACCATATTTTTGACACGATTGAAGTGCATCCACTTTGATGTGATATCAAAATTATTTTTTTATTTTTTTTTTTTTTTGTTTGTAGGATATCGCACCCATTCAAACACACATGGGCCGGGACCAACGGCTTTACTTCACTTCCGAAGGACGACGTAACCGAAGGGGGGCGACACATCTAAATCTCAATACTAGATGCTCAAAAAATTTAGCGAATCAATCTTCGAAAACTCTTCTTTCAGTTCTCGCATCTACTTGCATCTTTTTGCAGGAAATCTGCAGAATCGTCATTAATCTTCTTGCTATCTATTCAGCGTGCACGCAGCTAGCCAAAGCAAAACACAATCTTTCCTGCAACGTAGATAGAGTTGTTCCCCTCGGACGTAACCAGAGATTTTTATGCCTCAGAAAAATCCCACCGACCTCGGCTGGGATTGAACCCAGACCCATTGAACCGACGCCGGCTAACATTAACTTATGTTTCAATAAATTTGATATTTCCTATTCCTATAACTTGGAGCTACTCCATATTCAAATTTATACATTTGTCACTTGTAAAATCAATTTTATTTTGACAAGGCTACTCAGCGCATTTTGTTCTTATTTTGTGACCTGATAAGTGTAAATATATATTCCATGAATCGATATTCAAAATTCTTACTTATTTCCGAGAGAATTTAGAAGACTGAAAACGCGGCGTCGGTGATGTAGTGGTAAGCGTGAGGGAAGTAAAGCCGTTGGTCCCCGGTCCATGATTTGATGGGTCGATAGGTAGAGTCAAGGTGTGGGAACTGCTTCCATGGCGTCAGTAATATAGGTACTCAGTACGGAAAACAAGATCGACGGAAAACAAATCCAAGGAAATAATGAAGACTGAAATTTACATTTTGTGCAGATTTTATTGATTGAGGCTTACTTCAAGTATTAATTAAAGAGTAATTTGTTTAAAAATAATTAATTTAAGCAATTCTCAATTTTATTTGGCGCATAATCTTTATCTCTCCCGAATAAACTATACGGATAAAACGTATAATGAAAAAGCTGCAGGTATTTTTTGGTGTCGACTTTATCAAAAAGAGTTATATTCCTAGAAGAATTACTTTTCGAATTAGGAACGCACACTGTGACTCCATTCTTAAGACTCCATTTTGCCCTAAAAACTGGAATTTTTTTATTTCAATTATTTGTTTGCTCTGAAATGTAATGCTAATCACAAGCTACGAAAAATCATTTTTTTTTAATTAACGCATCTGAATCAATCTAACCGTCCTTCTTATTTGTATAGGTACTTTCCATACAGTTCATCAATATTATTGCTATCTACCTACTCATCACGCGAGCATCACACAGCTCTTCCCTGTACCTGAATGCCCTAGGGTGGGTGAGCCAGTAGTTGAGGAGCTAAGGCAATTTATTTATGAAAAAATGTATAAACGATGTACAAACAGTTTCTATACGTTAATCTAAAATTTTCAATCTATTTTTTTTTTTAGAAAAATAATGCATCGTAATTAAATTATCAACATTTCTTGGAAACTCGTCCTTCATTAATAGGAACAATGTTCCAGTAGTTGGTTCCTATAATAGTGGAACGCATTTGGTTCTTATGGATTCCACTATTATAGGAAAATTACCGCAACTATTGGTGCAAAAGAGCAGAATCTTAAGGGAAATTTATTGCTTTTCGTCATTTTTGGACTAATTTTAAGTTTGAAATATTCACATCTGCTGTCTTTTAGGAGAGCTACCGTTGAAAAATAGCCTTATCCGGTTTTCCCACTTTATTCCGGCACAACCCCTATACCGCAACTATAGGCACACCACTATTACTGGAACACCTACCCTATATACAAACGATGCAACTAATCGCCGCAGCTATTCTTAACATAGGAATCGCGTCAACTCGAAATCATCTCATTGGAACAGTGTCGGAATATGCAGCATGTATGCAACACCTATGACTCTGAATTGTATCATCTAATCGCATCGTATGCACAGTTCGTAGAGTCGGCCCCTCACTGAAAACAAGTCATACCTCGAGAAAGATGGAAACATATGGTTCGTCCTGAGAGGGTTATTGTCATTGACAAGGTTGTGTAATTGATCATAATCAAAAACAGAAAACAGGAAGATAAAAAACTTAATTTCTGTTTACTAACGCACCGCATGAATGCCGTTATACTTACATAACTAAAAGTAATTATTCAACATAAAAATTAAACTCGCACACGAATCTAAGATCAACGATACAATAAAACTTAACAAATCGAAAATTGTAATATTTTCATTATTGAGAGATTCGTACTTGCATTCCAAACATCAATCAAACGATCTGTTTCATGGTGTACATACTTTGAAAATTTCCGTTATAACATTACAATTATGGTATATTATAGAATTAATCTGTTAATGCTTACAAATGAGTCTATGAGCCTTCATTCTCATCAGTGATGCATCAGCCTACTGAAAAGGCGCGTTTCCAAACGAAGTGTATTCACTCCTTCGGAACAACTCACGGTAGCAAAACAAATCTGCCCATTCGTTTACTCATGCATCCCTCTTTTTAGGTAAACAATTCTTATGTTTTAATTGAAAAATGTGTTTGAATGGATTTACCTACGCCGTTTTATTTATCGTATGCACTACATATATTGTTACAACTAAATTTCTACCGATTAAGCGTAAAATAACAATTCTACCTGTCGTGCGAATATAAGCAACGCTTGTAACATACCATTTGTCATGTTATGATCAGTACGCCGTCCTAAAGCAGCACCACAGTCGTGTTTCAGAGCTCGTCGGAGTCACATCGTCTCTCTCGGAAAACAACAAAACATAGTCACATAGCATTGTTGCTACCCCAAATTGTATAAAAAAATATAAATTTTAATTCACTAGTTCGAATTATACGTAAATAAGTGTAATCAAAATGAGTTCAGAAAACAAAAAGAGTGAAGTGGAGGTCGAAAAAGTTGTCGCTGCTGACGAAAAAGCGGAAACCAAGGAAATTAAAGGAGTCAAGCGGCCCGCCGATGTAAGTACTTTTACAGTAATAGCGTTACTGATTCCTTAATATACTTCAACTGTAAAAAGAGAAGCCAAGTAGTATGAAAAAAATGTTGGCAAAGTAAAAAAAAAGGATTTCAAACAATTTGATACCACCGGCCGGTACAAGTCTTTCATGGTTCATTTCCCTCCGAATTGAAAAATGAAGAACAAATCACCGCCATTGCCGAATGAGTACCACGCGGCGTGCATGTAGCATTTTTTCCATAGAATAATACCAGAATCAAAAGTTAACATAAATTTGTTCTGAAAAGTTCTAAAGTATTCATAATCATCAATATTAAAAATTATATTCGAATATGGCGGACACAAGCACGTTTTCCACTATCGTAGTATCGGAAAAGTGAATAAAAATAATTTACAAAAAAATATCTCCCAAGGAGACTGTTAGCTTGAGAGAGATTCATAATCTCCAATGAATTAGTAATTAACATAATAAGTGTTCAATGAGGTCTTCAAATTATTTGCTTGTTTTTGGCTTGGCGTCGTTTTTTTTATTAATATATTTTCTATTGGAATTGCATAGCATACGAGCTAGAATAGATATTGGCAATCCACAGTAGTCGTTGTGTTGTAACAATACGTGAACACACCAACACCTAGTAGCAAATAAATATAGCACACGTGAGAAAAGCGCCAAGCTGAAAACTGACGCACAGCTTGAAATTTCATCGATCTCGACAAACTGTTTATACAGGTTAAAAGGAGACGAAGCAAAAACACCGGCTTCTTGTCAGCATGTATGCGTAACAAGCTCATATTCAACGGAAAAACCTATTCTATGTTTGTGTGGAATAACGCCACCGAAACTCACAACTACATCCTAAAACGTATTCAGCTGTGTGAGTGTTATACGATACTGTCCTACATAAATTGGAATCAAACTTAAATTCAATAATCATTCTACTTGGAGCACATTGTGATAACCAATAAGATTTTGACTATTCTAATTTGACGCGGTACTTTAACAGTTTTTATCTCTTGTTTTCATCCACAGGAAAAGACCACAGAATCCAAAAAAGTGAAGAAAGACGAAAATGGCGCGGGTGAAGAAGAAGAAGACGTTGAGGATGAGGGTGAGGAAGTGGAAGGAGAAGATGAAGAGTACGACCTTCCCTACGGTGAAGAAGAAGATATAGAAGCTGAAGGTTAGTTTCATTCGTTTGGTTGATTTTTACCGCCATATTTAAGCTTGCTCGTATCTACAACTTGTAATACTAATGTTGTTCTTTTATTTGCTTACAGATGAGGAAGAGGAAGAAGGCGATGAAGTTGATGGTGAAGAAGAGGATGAGGATGCGTAATGATGAGATACTATGTAAGAGTGAGACTAAGTAAAATAGGAATAGGTGATTTATTATTTCGATTTGCACTAAATATGCAAATAATAAGTATATGCATCCATGAACATTGTAAAATTTGTTTGTGTATATATTTTAAAATCAACAAAGGAAATCCTACCATAGACATCATACGCATGAAGGAATAATTTTGCTGAAATTAAATTTCTGTTTCATGGTCCTAGGTCGTAGAGACACAGTCAACAGAAGCTTCAGTTTTGAGTGACTGCGATTAAAGAGTTGTATGTGCAACTTGGATGCGTTCGAACCTTGCATACAGTCAAGAATTGTGGATTGTAATATGCAGACTTCCATTTTATATTTACCATCGTGATCATGAGTATTGTTGCAATTATTCGAGCACAATTCATTGCAAGTGTACCGTGTACATTGTAATGCATACATATGCACGTTGATAAGCTTCAACATATATTCGTAGAATGTAGAAGCTCATCAAAACATTCAGTTCGAATATCAACAGAAAATCTAATTAGGAATCTTCAAAACAATTGTGCTTAATTTATTATGTGGAAAACTGAAGAGCATTTGTATTTATTTTAGCCCTGTATTTTTTAATCGCGATTATATATAATGTGTATTATAATTTTTAGTATAGATCAAGCCAAACAAGACTTATCTCGTGGAAGAAAAAACTGTTCATAGCAATGATAAAGATGTTTGGCCATCTATAGTGAATAATTATGCAACAATATTCGGTACCAAGTTTGCAAAATATGAATTGGAAAATTGCATCGAGATCACCAAAAAAAGGAACTTAAGCATAAATGAACCACACGCATTTCGTCAGCTCCCTCTTCAAAATTACAACTTTAATCTTAAGTATGTATGTCCGTGCAAAAGATTTGTTGAAATCAATGCAAAGATGAAGATAACAATAAAATAAAATAACTTACACAAATTAATTGGTTTGAATCTACAAAAAGAATCATTATACAACACAAAACATCAATAGTATGCATTCTACATTGTATTGCAAAATAAAAAAAAATATGTTTTTAAATATTGTTTTATTTGTTCCATGATGCAAATTTCAAGTATTCAAACAGGAGTTTTATCGACTGCTATACAGTTCACGATGCTGGCTACTCTACGAACATTTTAAGGAACGATTATGTAAACCCTTCAGTAAAGTTTAACCTAACGCTCTAAGAAGGTTCCTGAATCAACAAACTAAATCTTAACCAGTTCATTTTATTATTTGCATTGTCAGGTATGCTCAAGTTTTTTTTTCGACAAAGTCAATGTTCTTATAAGTTTAAGTTTACCAATATTCTTTTTTTTTCATTTAATTTCATATTGTGGGATCTTGTAACATTTCCCAGGATTTGTTTTAAAAGATTTTCTTCTAGTATAATTTATTTAAAAAACCTAAGCCTCGTAAAGTTTAGCCACACACGATCTTGTGACACAGTATAATTTTGAAATTCTACACACATTAAAAAATTTCACAGATTTCTGTGAAATTTCACCAAAACCTCAACAGTTCGGTGATTTTTCACAGGTTTCCTGTGTGTCTTTGGAGATGAACTAGCTAGTGGCTAAAAATCTACTTAAGAATTTCATTGATATTCTGTGAAAAATTTCAGGAAAACTGGTTTTATTCTTGCATATATATATATTATCGCAGTTATCATAAATTCATTGTTCGATTTTTGATGATGACAGGATATTGATGATAAACATAGTTTTACTCAATATAAAAAAACCAGAACATTCTCCTAGAGTCACATGTGCTCTTCTCGTACAAACAAATAAATGCTATCTCCGAAAAAAATATGACGCACACATACATTTTCCGATCTAGTAGAGAAATGAAACAGGGCTTCATGTAGGCACTTGAGAATACATCAATTTGGTCTATCAACATTTAGTAGATAATCATCGTGGGCACATAGCGTGACGTCCGCCATCTACATTCAAAGTGACTCCAGTTATGAAACTGGCAGCATCGGATGCTAGGAACGCTATCGTTGCCGCAACTTCTTCCGGGACACCTGGACGTCCCAATGCATGGGTCTGTTTGCATTTCTCAAGAAAAGCTTCATACGTTTTTTCATCCATTCCTCCTCGCTTGTGAATATCAGTTATTATGACTCCTGTAAATATTCAATTCTTAGCGGCCATTTGTTATAGCAATGTTATCAAACAAACCTGGATTAACAGCATTTACCCGAACCTGTTTTTCCGCTAACTCTAATGCCGTACAGCGCGTGAATTGATCAATTGCTGCTTTGGACATACCATAAGCTAAAATCCCCGGAAAAGACCTATTTCCAGCTACACTGCTCAAATTCACAATGTTCCCTTTACTTTTAATCAAGTGGGGTACAGCTAGCATTGTCAGATGATACACAGCTTTTACGTTCGTATTCATTACCTCATCATACTGTTCCAGACTCGTATTCTCAATCGATCCATTTGCAATAATGCCTGCATTATTGACCAGCACATCTAGTTTACCAAGTGTGGCAATAATTTCATCAATGACTCGCTTATTATCCTCTGGTTTGATTACGTCAGCAACCAGTAAGAGTGGTTTTCCTCCTGAAATTGCTTCACATTCCGCTCCAACCTTGGTTAGATTGTCCACATTTCGTCCGGTTAAAGCCAATAATGCACCAAGATTGGCAAAATACTTTGCCGTTGCTTCTCCGATTCCAGATGATGCTCCAGTAATCAATACTACTTTATTTTTAAAATCCATGATTTTATTGGAAACAGAGAACGTCTGATGAAATTGTTAGCAATTCAATTCAATTATAAAAATTGATAATCTATTACTTACTTCTGTGGTCGAGATGTGAAACCTTACCGAGATGGGTCAATGTGAGAATGTCACTGCACTATTGACAATTCCAATGAATAACTTTTTATTCGAGCAGTTCAAATGACGTGAGACGTCAGTCCGTAAATCAACGATGCCTTTCTTCTTCAATACTATGTTTATTCGATTCTTAAAGAGCATTCGATGTATGTTCGATTCGAAAAGCGATATTTCCGGGAAAACAAAACATGCTTTTGAATTTTTGCATCAGATTTTAAATATCAATAATTGATAAACTATTCAATACAGTAAGGGTCCGAATTTGGCAACATATAAGGGAAATTACGGCTTCGGCATTTCTTTACCTATTATCGTCAGAGGATAAATGAAGTCTTATAGCAGCGCTGCCCAACATGCGGTCTGCGGGCCGGCCGTCCACTCTGGGTCTCAGCAATGATCTGTAAAGCACCCTTGTTTCTTTTTTTCCTCATTATGAGTTTTATAACCCAGAATGAATAAGAAATAAACAAAATGCAGCTTTAAACATGTTCATTAGGCTCATGCATCATTTAAAATGTTCGCTACACAGTGCTTAAACGGTTCCAAATCGGGTCCTGATTAACCTCACAAAATGTGAACTCGTTTGGTTAAAAACTGACAGGTCACAAAGGTTAGGTTAGGTTTTCTTTATTAAGGAGGTTTTCAGCCTTGGGCTGGTTCGCCTCCGGACAGGTCACAAAGTTTGCATGGGAATTACTATGGAAAAATCAAACTTTTCATTCACTGCCTTCTACCTTTTTTCTTATTGCTATGAGAAAAAGTTCGATAACTGTTCTTGTATGAAATTGTCCCAGCTACAATAAAATTGAGGAAATGGCTCTAATGTTGGCCTATGGATCTAAGATTGGGCCCATCACTAAAAATCTGCTATTTATCAATTTTATCTAGATGAACGCGTCATTGGGACGGTACTAATTTGGTCGTTATTGAAAATTTAGTCGATTGCTAAATTTATGTATGTGCTCAAATTAGGAGCATTTAGGCCGACATTACATCCATTTCCCCTAGTTATTAATTATTTATTACATTAGTAATCTTATGACATGTGAGTAACACTGTATTGTGCGGTGTGACATAGTGGCTATGATTTTTGGGCTCTGCTCCACGCGATGTTGCCTGCTGAGCAGTTGATTGAGCTCGATCTTAAGACATTAGCGCCTTGAAACATTAATAACTTCTGTTCCTTCCATTTAATTGAAAAATAATCTTGCGCAAAGTTGTAGCTGAGAAAATTTTCGAAAATCTAAACTATCTAAATTTGTTGTAGATAAATATGGTGAAATATTAGAAATATGAATATGATATAATATGAATAAAATGCAAACGTAAAATCTTGTTGAATTTTCAGTTTACCCCTTTTAAAATATAGATAGTTTAATGCTTTTAATCTTCCTATCAAAATTCATGATTGTGTTATCACTGAAGATGTGCATTGAGGGCGCTCTCAAATGGGGAAAGTTTGCATTTTGATAGGGAGATTAATAGCATTAAACTATCTATTTACGATCAGTTAACTGAAAATTCACGTTAGTATTCTATAATAAAAGGTAATGAAAAAGCTCAAAAAGAGCGATCCATTGGATCCATTGTTCACCCAATGTGAATCCCTTCTGTAGCAGTGAAGCGAGGCGACGGTTTCGGTGCGAAAATCAAGATTGTCCGGTGTGAGTACGAGTAAAGGAAAGCCAACCACTGCCGCCACAACCCTAGATGGATTAGTAAAAGGAAAAAGTGTTAGTTATTTACTAAAATGAGCTATGACGATTGTATATGGCATGTTTTGCTATAATCAATACTCCTCGTGTTTATTCACGAACTTTACATCACTTGCGTAGGAAATTAATTTTGCAAGGCATTTGTGACCAGCGTACACTGTGGGATTTCGACGGACGTGACGAATAAAACGCGATAATTGATTACTAATATTAACCGTTCGTTAACGGATTGTGATCCGTATAGATGGTGAACTTGCGGCCTTCCACGATGTGACGGAAATACCTTACAGCCATTTTCATGGCTGTGAGCTCTCGACCGAATGTGGAGTACTTTTGTTGAGCTGCAGAAAACTTTTCAGAGTAGAATCCTAGTGGTCTCCACGTACCGTGCACTAACTGTTGCAGCACTGCTCCAGCTGCTGTGCTCGAAGCGTCGATCATCAATCCCAAGGGCTTTGACGAATCCGGATAGTGAAGTAAAGTTGCATCCGATAGAGAAGCTTTGCAATTCTCGAAAGCTTGTTTCGCTCCCTCGGTCCACTGTAATTTCCGATTATCGTTTTTCTTGTTTCCAGGTAGGTATTAACTTACGCAGCTCTGCTTGCTGATCAGTAGCTTGCCGAATGAACCGTTTATAACCATTTACCAAGGCAAGAAATCTGCGTAACTGCTTCACAGTAACTGGAAGTTCATATTCACGGATAGCCTTCACACGGTTTGGCAGAGGGAGTATTCCGTCCTTATTTACGTTGTAACCAAGAAATTCCACTATTTCAACGTGTTCTCTATGTTCTTCAGGATTAGTCGAAGCAATACATATGTCATCGATGAATATGACAACGAAGTTCAAATCGCCGAATATTTGATGCATGTAGCGTTGAAATGTTTGGCTGGCGTTACATAAACCGTTCTGCATCGTGACGAACTCAAATAGCCCAAACGGAGTTATTACGGCGGTCTTGGAGATATCTTCTTCTGCCACAGGGATTTGGTGGTAGGCACATTCCAGATCGATTGTCGAAAATATGGTTTTACCCTGAAATGCGTTTAATAAATCATGAATATGGGGAACAGGATATCTATCGGGCACTGTCACTTTGTTGAGTGCCCGGTAATCTCCAACAAAGCGCCATTGTCCGTTTTTCTTGCGGACGCAGTGCAATGGACTGGCCCAGCAGCTGCTAGATGGACGACATAATCCAAGTTCGGACATTACCTGAAACTCTTTTCTAGCTGCTTCTAACTTATCCGGAGCCAATCTTCGCGCTTTTGTTGCAACAGAGGGTCCTTTTGTCAGTATATGATGCTTCACTTGCCTTTCTTTTACCGCTGAACGCATAGTCGACGGAAGTGTAATTTCCCGATATTCCAGGAGAAGAGCTCGATAGGGATGATCATAGTCGACGGTTGTAATGCTGTGAATGGCCGCTATTGCCATCCCACCGGTACACTTTAAGAGTGTTTTACCATCTATTAAAAGCCGATTCTTCAAATCCACGATGATTCCGAAATATGCTAAGAAGTCAGCACCGATGATTGCAACACTGACATCAGCCACAAGGAAATTCCAGCAAAACCGACGACGAAGACCCAAGTCAGTGTTGACGAAGCGAGTCTCGTATGTTTTGATTGTTGTACCGTTGGCTGCATGAAGAACAAACGAAGTCGGTCCCTTCATTCGATCCAGGCGTGCGGCTGGTATAATTGAAACATCAGAGCCGGTATCAATTAAGAATCGGCACTTACTAGAGCGATCGAAGACGAGCAAACGGCGACTTTGAGAAGGAGCGTCCACCTTCGCCGTGTCAGACGGACCTCCCACTAGTTTTTTGGTTCACTGAATACGCATGGTGAACGGCACTGGCGAGCGTTCCTGCCATATTTTCGATGGTACCAACATACTGTATTCTGTTCCTCCTGATCATAACTTCGTTCACGTCGAACCCTAGATGAAGACCGACTCCTGCTTGGGCCAGCGGTTTTAAGCCGGCGAACTTCCGCTGTCAAATTTGCAATTTGCTCGTACAGAGTAGTTAGTTCACTTCCCGTGGATACGGCTGTCGACGCAACATTACTGCCAGTCCCAGTCGTTTCAATCATCTTATCTGCCATTTCTGCCAGTTTCGAGAGAGTTCCATCGCTTATTGACAAAATTGGTCGAATCCTTTCCGGCATCCTCTGCAGAAACAACATTTTCATCACGTCGACGTTGATGTTCAACCCAGCTCCGAGTTCTTGCATACGAGCAAGCATGTGAGTGGGACGCATATCTCCGAGATCACAAGCGTTGAGGAGTTGTTCCAATTTTGCTTGCGACGAAAGCTCAAAACGGGAAATCAAACGAGCTTTTACCTTGTTGTACTTTTCTTCCGCTGGAGGATTTTGAATCAAATCGGAAACATGACAAATGACGTTCTAATCAATCTTGCTAATGATGTGGTAGTACTTGGTATCATCTCTAACCACTCCAGCAAGCACAAACTGCGCCTCAGCTTGCGCAAACCACATCGCTGGGTCATTTTTCCAAAATTCAGGAAGTTTAACTGCAACTGCGGCAGTAGTATTTGTGAGGTTAGGAACTGGGTCAGTCATCTTCGTTCTATAGAAATAGAAGATGGCGTCCTCGATTTTGTTTTTCTTCGCTGTTTGCACTATAAGTACCGTTTTTCACGACGGGGAATCCTTTCCGAGGATTCGAGAATCGGTACCAATATCACGTCGGGGTCACCAATGTGGGATTTCGACGGACGTGACGAATAAAACGCGATAATTAATTACTAATATTAACCGCGTATATTTATTAAACTTTCTTGTTATGGCGCTTGACAAAGACTGACTCACTGCAACATGGTCGTATGATTGTGTTGGTGAATGCAGGGATGAATCCATGCTACGGCACTGTCGTGTCCGGGCACGCTTTCAATTTGCCAGTCGACAATCTCGGCCATGGTGACTGCTGATACGCTGGATCCTGTCCACACCGTCTCGGAGTGCAACTTGAATTCGATGTGAAAATTCAAAACCAACTGTTAGCCTTGAAAAAGGCTGTTTGTTGAACACGCTGGATCGTTGCGCGGTACTACTCGCGGTTACTGCTGCTGCTGGAAGGCCTCCTCTCGCTGATTCGATGCGCGACACTGCTCGCGGTTACTGCTGGAAGGCGCTCTCTCGCAACCGATGGTTCACCGCTCCGTTTCACGGCAACGGGTCGTGGTCTTGCTGCCGTTTGCTCTCTCTCTCTCTCTCTGTTCGATGCGCGACACTACTCGCGGTTATTGCTGCTGCTGGAAGGCGTCCTCTCGCTGATTTGATGCGCGGCACTGCTCGCGGTTATTGCTGCTATTGGATGCTACTCTATTCACATCAGTTGTATGAATGCCTAATGCGCGACACGGGTCGCGCTTTTATATGATACGTGTGCCCGCGGTTTTTCGTTCCCCCGCGTTATAGGCGATCCTCATTGGTTGACTAGTAACCGTTTTTCTATTACATCTAGTTATCCATGAGAAATGTTCGCGAGTCATAATGACTTTTTGCAAACTTGTCTATCGCTGGGTATCATTTATTTACTATTTTTTTTTTTCTCTCAATAATGAAGGGTTAGTTTATTTGTTTTGTCTTTATTTTAAATCATTTATTTTATTTTATTTTTAACTCAACTCTATCTACTACAGGCACCACCACAACACCTTCTGGTTTCTGGTCGTATGAAACAAGTCCAAATCCATCGCTAAACTTTTTTTGTTGGCACCATTTATGGCAAAATTGTGAACTTTTCATGAACATTAACGGCAAATAACTCACTGACACTAGCGGAGCGTTAGTTACAGCACACCTGTCATTATCCGCTTGGTGCAAGATAGTCACAGGTGGGCTTGATCGATTATCTTCGTCGACTTTCTGTTTCGTTAATAACTTGAGCACATAACCGTTTCTTGTTGGTTTTGTTGTATTAGATGCTTGATAACATTTACAAGTATTTTCCGCCTGATTTAACGTTGCATAATTTGTAATTTATTAATCTGTAGGTTGGATACCTAGCCTATAAGTTTTACTCTACACCAATAAAAAATACGATTCTATGTGGAAGACTTCATTTTTATTTCCAATATTTCTCGCTTCACACCGCTCTCACAATCCCAAATTTTTTGCGATGTAAAATAGCCATCCGCCTCCAGTGCTTTCTCAAATAACCGTAAATTACCTCCAACGCCAAAATAGTATGTTTTCGCTGCCAGCAATCTAAAACAAAAGCAAATCAAAATTATTATTTCTAATTTGCAGGCAAATTTTGAACAATCATTCAACATACACCACTCCACAAGGTTTCAGTTTGTTTTTGAACAAGTTGATCAATTTTGCGTAATTATCCGGGCTATATATGGTTTCCGAAGTCAGTATCACATCGTATTGATGCTCAACCTTCTCCATAAAGCTGGACCAATCGCCTGAATAGAATTTAACTTCCGCATCGGATGTGGTTTTCTCATCGCTTTCAGTTTCGCTGCCCCGGCAATTGCAGGAGTAATTTTTCACTGTGACCTTCTCTAGAACGTCTCGATTCTGAAAAATGTCCAATACTCCACATACAATCATAACAATTTTCTAACATTTTGTAAGACTCACGTAATCTTGGAATACCACTTTCGATGCTCCCAGTTTTATTGCCAAAATTCCGAGTATCCCAGAACCGCATCCCAAGTCGAGAACTGTACTTTCGTGAAACAATTTCTTATACTGTTCCTTCTCAACCATCAGCTCTCCAAGATCGAACGTACACTCCCACACCTTGAGACCTCCTTCGTAGCGACCTGCAATCAAGTCCGAATGGTCCATTTCTGCCGACAGGATATCCAGCCCCAGTTCCTCCTTCGGTATGGATACACAATTTATATATTCAACCAGAATTTCCTCACTGGCCGCAAATACATGCAAATTGTCCGGATTGAGGATGATGCCTTCTTTTAGGTCATCGCTGAGGATCACTTCTTCGCTTTCGTATTCGGCGGTACGAGTTTCGGCTTATGATAGTTTGAAGGACGATCAATTTTATGATGAAAAAAAAAGATTGTCGGTTATGCTTACCGGAAGTGTCCGTCTCGCTGGATTCAACAGTTTCGTTAAATGAAAATTTAAACATTTTAACTTCTGTAATAAACAAACACGTGCGATTTGCATTCAAAGGCTCGAATTAATCAGTGAACAGTGATGTTTACTTTTCAGGAAAGAAAACGCGGCGCGATGCATTGAGATGTAAACAGGTTAGGCCCAGTTGAATTGTCATCTCTTTCGTTCCTTTGCTGTTTGAACGATTGATGGAGTTTGACATCACACATTCGTCATCTATTTAAACAACGGGAGAACAAAAGAGACAATGAATCTACATTGCCTCACCTGTTTACAACATGATGGATGCAGAGCGAAGGGCTTGATGAAACAAAATAGTGCCGCTGTAAGTGTAATCATTGCGGTTCGCCAGCAGTGTTGTTAACACTCAAAGAAAATCCATTACACGGAAACCGCAAAATACGCAAAAATGACTATAAAGGACTCAATTTTGACTATAAAGTATGCATATTCGGCTAAAACGGGACTACACCTAAAATATGTGTATTTTTTACACATTTTATGAGTATCTGGTACTCATAAATGCATAAAATTTATTCATTTTTGTACTAGTAATTACTCATAAATGTGTAAAATTTTACTCATTTTGTGGGTAGTCCCGTTTTCATTCAAAAATGTGTACTTTATAGTCATAAAAGAGTTTTTTGCGATTACCGTGTATTTTGTTCATAAGAATAGACTTATACTTCTCATTATCTTATACTAAATGTTATTCATTACTTCACTCACATTAAATTCATGAAGGCACACATAGTAACCAAGAGATATTTTATGGACAAGTATTGATCATGTGCTATGACCAAAACTATAAATATTCACTTATACTTTTTACATAGCAGTACTTTGAAAAGTAACAGTTGTTTTTGACTGAATCGGAAGAGGATGTCAGCTACGCCTGATCGATCATCTTTATGTAGAATATTTAAATAATTAGTTGCCTGTAAATTAATGATTACCAATGTGAGATATATTCCAGTTGACCGATAATACAAAACCATCCATGGACCTTACCGACTACCATAAACATAACCATTATAGTTCTCAAATCATTAGTAAAAAGGTTATAACCTGGGTTCAAATATAGTTTCTCTTTCCGAAAATGTATGGAGAACATTTAACAACCCATTATTTGTAAAGTTCACTTCATAAAAACCATAATAAATAAGATTAAAACTTTATCGTTCATGTGAAGTTCCATAACCATTTCAGTTAAAGTTTAGCAGGGATTATAAACAATGTTTAACCATGTCGGATTGTTTTTGACAACCATTTCGAGTGATTTTGCACCACTCAGGTTATAACCATAGAAGTAACTACGGATATTACGGTTTTCAGCTGAACCGTTAATAAAAAGAACTAAAATTTTGGGAGCTTTATTTTTCTGTGTCCACATACTCGTCAGCGCAAATGTTTTGTTTGCAGCGGGTTCTGACGATTTTTTCAATGCCGCTGTAAGGCTGATGCCCGTCATGCCTCATCGGCCAAATTTAGTTTCTGTTCAACAAATTACAAAAAAAAATATTATCTCTGATGGGATAATAAATAATCTCCATTAAATAAGTGTTCGGAAGTATTTTGGATTGAAATGCCAGCTTCCTGTTCTATTCCAGATTGCGAGCTGAAGTATGCTCATTCCGAGGATGTATCATACCACAAGTAAGTGTTTATTCAATCGGGACAAGCAATAGTTCCCTTCAGCTCTGTTATGATCTTAGATTTCCGCTGAAGAAACCAGAACTACTTGGACAATGGATCCAGTTTACTAGTCGGGGTCCCGAATGGATGCCCACCAAGTGGAGTGCCATATGTAGTCGGCATTTCAAGCCTACCGATTTTAAGGATTGCGTATACAGGTTTGTCATTCGAAGTATTTCCCTAAAACGATTTTAAATGTACGATCACTTTTAGGAAAAATCTAATCAACACAGCAATTCCATCGATTCGAGTAAGGCACCAAGCTCCAATTGTTTCATTCATAGATCAACCGAAGTCCGATGAGGCTAAGGAATGTATAAAAAGTGCAATTGCAGAAGCAGTGGTTCTGCAAGACGAACCCTTTGATCAGTTCGACACCGATCAGGAAGATCTCGACGGAGGAGAAGAACCCAATCTTTTGGACATTACCTGCCGATTGTGCGGAATTGTTTTTAGCAAATGGTGTCAAGGATTGCTGGTTGACTACCGAGAACATTCCGCAGTCATCGTAAAATGCCTTCCATTCTTAAATTTGGAAATTACCTTCTTTCCTTCGAAAATTTGCGGTCACTGTTTACGGATGATCAATGGATTTTCCTCATTTTTTGATAACGTTGTGAAGGCTCAAGGTGATCTAGAACTCAAGTACAGTGGCAGAGGTAACCAAGAACAAGACACGTTCCAAGCACCCGAAGAGCCTTCAAGGCTGAAAATAAAACAAGAACCATTGGTGAACATTAAGGAAGAAGCAGTGGATTCCAGCACTAAAGTGAGAGACGTGCATCCAGAAGCTCCGGAGAGCACTCTTATAATCAAGAACCCTAATGTCACCAATGATAAAAACAAAATTTTGCTATTCAACAACCCATCGCATGAAAGACTGTACTCGAATCAATTTCGAGAATCGAAAAATTGCGAGATTTTAGAGATAGTCAATTTGTATCCGCCTATCGTGGACATCACAAGTGCCACTATCAGAGAAGTTCAACCATATGAAATAACGTTACCTTCGGTGGCAAATTGCAGTTTCCAACAGCAAGCAGCTCCACAGCTAATCAACCTCAAAACGGAAGATACTGCTGAGTCGTACGAGGACTACGAAGACTATTCTAGCTATTACCAAGATTTCCAATCCGGTTTGAACACCTTGGAAGAACACAGCTACTCCAAGCTTCCGATACAAGCGGATGACAACAAGGACGAGATTTTTCCACACTTGCCGGAGCCTGTGGAACCTATAAGCTTAGGGGAATCAGTTACCGTACAGGTGATACACGTAGAACTTCCGTCTCAGCAATCGAATTCAGTAAGCCCTCCAACGTTGAAATATTCATGCCAGGAATGTTATAGAAAATTTCCGACCAGGTTAAAACTTATCAAACATCGCATGTTTTCATGCAGCATGAGAAAGACTGACCTTTTCAATTGTATATTTTGCTCGAGGAAATTCCCCACCTGGGTTCGATTGCAGATGCATCTATCGTTGTGCCAGAAACGAATTCAACAAAGAAGACAACTGTCTCTGAAGGCCGCGCAAGCTAGGGCAACTCTTGATTCTTACAGAAAAGGAGTGCAACCGAATAGGAAACTGGAAGCCGGTCAGGTTCGTCGCCACAGTTGTTTAATGTGTGAACGAACCTATTCCAGATCGTCCAACTTGAAAAGGCACATGGCCAGTCATCGACCGGTTGATCAGTGGAATCACAAATGCGGTATTTGTCATCGGATATTCGATAAGTTGCTTGATCTGAAGAAACACTTTCAGCTGGCGAAATGCGCTGGCAATAGTAATAAAAATGAGGGCAAAGCAGAGGAAATGAAATGGGACGACACGGCACCTGAGGTGGTGGCTGCGTTGGATCGATTACTGTACGTTTGCTCCACGTGCAATAAGCAGTTCAAGACGTACAACAGCTTGAAAGTTCATGAAAGTATCCACACTGGTAAATGGTAGCCTTGCGTTGTGTTAGTTCTAAAATAACGATTCTAAATTTCTCCCGTAGGAATTAAAGTATTCATCTGTGAAACATGTGACAAACGCTTTGGTGGGCAGATGAATCTTACCCAGCACCGACTGACGCATGTTGATACGAGACAGTTTTCCTGTACACTGTGTCCTAAGGTTTGTTTCAGGCTCAGGCTGTGAATTATAATTAACAAAATGTGATTTCTTCTCATTTACAGGTTTTCAAACGTAGTGGCGGTCTTGGCCAGCACGTAAAATCATTTCACATGAAAATTAAACCGTACCAGTGTTCGGTGTGTCGGAGGGACTTCGCCCTGAAGGCGGACATGATGAGGTGTCGGCATTCGAAATTAAAGGATTTCGCATAAGAATATAATTATTTTCTTAATAATGGTCTATTTTTTACGGGCTGTGATATCTATTACATCCTTGTCCAAGGTGACCTTTCGAGTATATTAGGAAGAATTAATTAATTAATTAATTTATCTTTATTAGGGAGGCTTTCAGCCTTGGGCTGGTTCATCTCCATATTAGGAAGAAACATGATTTGGCAACGGAGGCGGCGGGTTCGATTCCCGGTCCTGTCGAGGGAATCTATCGGGTTGGAAATTTTCTCGACTTCCCTGGGCAAAGAGTATCATTGTGCTTGCCACACAATATTAAAATTCATGGTATTGGCATCGAAAGCTCTCAATTAATAACTGTGGAAGTGCATTTAGAACACGTAATAAGCTAATATGCACTAAGCAGTAAGCTTGATATGCGAATAAGAAGAAGAACGGTTATCTCTGCGATTCGTGTTTGGAATTAAACACGTTTTTTTTTTACCTTCCTAGTGCATTGGGGTCATTTTTGGTCTAGAAACACTGAGTAACTTTTTCCAAATGCACCAGGAAGTTTAATTCAATTTTAGTGCAATAAGTCGGGAAAATTGTCCATAAAAGCAAATCAGTTCCATATGGATTTTTATCGCCGGCGCCGGTGGTGTAGTGGTAAGCGTGACTGCTTTCTAACACCCCAATGGGTCTGGGTTCAATCCCAGCCGAGGTCGGTGGGATTTTTCTGAGGCATAAAAATCTCTGGTCACGTCTTCCTTCGGAAGGGAAGTAAAGCCGTTGGTCCCGGCCCATGTGTGTTGAATGAATGGGTGCGATATCCTACGCAGGTTTTGGAAGCTGTCTTCCTGCACATTCGGTTGCCGTCAATGGATGGCAATCGATGTCCGTCGGTGATTGGCACTAGATTGCGGAACAGAGACCGACGTTAAATAAAGGAAAAAGATATGGATTTTTATCAGAAATGAGTTATCCATTAGAATCGAATATAAACTACCTGTATTTTACATTCCGCACTAAAAGTCACATGTTTTGTTCAGAAAATATGGTGAAAAATAGCAGCGTTTGTTTTGGGCTTAACTTTTGTTTTGGGCTTATCTAAAAACAACATCAATTCAAATTGTACCATGTTGAAATCCTACGCATAACCGTCCCACAAAATTTTTTTTTACTGAATCTTTTATTGACGAACCGATTTTAGTGCACGAATGGTCGAAACAGGATTTATATGATCAAGAGAAACTCTTCATAGCAAATTTCTCGGCATAACAGTCCCACTGAATTGTTTTCGTATAAAAATAGGTTTAACTAATAGCGAATTCGTTTATTATCGGGGTTAACACCAGTTCCAACCCAGTGCGCAACCGAACTTTTTGTCAGTGTGAAAAACAAACGAGCAAACTGACGTTTGTCAGAAAACAAGCAGACCCAATCTTGATACCCGATCCAGGTTGGAACTAATAAACGAATTCGCTATAAGTTCATTGAAGGTAATTTCTGTAGTAATTTGCACAAACTTATTTTAACTGATATTTCTTCCAACAAGTAGAAGTTATTCGAAACATTATTCGCGATTTTCTCAGATGTTACTTTTAGAACATGGGACAGATATGCGTAGAACGGCAGTATATTGTAATCACGGAAAGGCGAATATCGAGAATAAGTTAAATTTTCTCTCAACTTGCCGTAAAGGGTAACAGGTGTTAACTCATTCGTGTAAACGAGAACTTGACCATCTTTAGATATCTAGATAGAGCTGGAATTAGGGCGTAACAGCTTTTTTAAACAATGACTTCTATCGTCGGTTTCTAGGAACTCAAGGCTCGCTCACGCAAACCTACATAACCGTCTGGTAGGGGGTCTTCCTCTACTCGATGGTGTTGTTGATTTGCGTTGGTGAGCCTTAACTGTTTAGAAATCATCGAAAGAAGTCATTGTTTACAAAAGCTGTTACGCCCTAATTCCAGCTCTATCTAGATATGACCAACGATCGGGCTTTCTTATCCGAGTTGGAATGAAAGCAAGCAGGCGCAGGAGGTACTCGCTGAAGGATCTGTACCGCAGAATCGATGAAGGGTTCGTAAATTGCGTGAACGAAGATGGAAAGCTGTTGTCTTGGGGGAGTGAGTGAAGCCGCGCTTTGCGAGAATTGAACGAGAACTTGAACCTTGGAATACGCGAAGCTGAGTGCAGAGGAGCAGCATCTGATGAATTGATGAACAACAAACATCGACAGTTTCGGCCACAGAGATCCGGCTGTCCTGGAAGAGCTGAAAGCGGTAAAGGATTCCAGATGCAGGATTGCAGATTACGATAGGTTTGTGCGGACTGTCTGAAAGGTAAGCTTCCTTCTTTTTATTCTAGGTGTTTTACGCTTCTGTAGCGAGCGTTTTGCCGGCTCTCAACTTAGTGCTCTAGATGCACTTTCACAGCTTCCTCCGATGGGATATGCAAAACATAGGTTTATTGTTATCGCGATATATGTAGTTTTGTTTCAATATCGGTTTCGGTATCGTATCGGATTTCCATTTATCGATATCGGGTTGATATCCGATCAATTTTCAAAAACTGGTTTAACGGCTTAAGAACTCTGTAGCCTTTATGTAGAATTTTTCGAGTTATTTTGTTAGCCAACCATAGATTCGCTATGCAAACATATAATACGATTAACACGATCCCGGTCCAGGCTGCTCCTGGAATAGCAAAGCATACCATATGACCTTCTTAGATACGCCAACGGGGTGGGGTGTAAATGCTTCCAGTGACGATGTCAAAAATAATGTTGTCAATATCGCGTGAAATAATTCAATGACAATGACAAATCTCAGCAAGTCTAGGATAAAATGCTTTGTTAATTGAAAAAGAAAATCGCACATTTCACACAGTCAAATTTGATTTGATAGCGACCGAAGTTTATCGAATAGCAAAGCGAAACAGAGATACTTTGGCATTTCTCATCAGTTTAATGCCACCAATAAAGATTATCAGACCAGGATCAAGTGATGAACTAGTCGACGGCTAAAAATAACGATAATAAAGTAATAAAAACGAGGCCAGCATAATGCACACCAAGCAACAACAACAAATTCGTTAATGATTTTGAAATTAAAGTCCCCTTGTCTTAATCTTGGGGTTAATTTGACCCCAAATTCAAATAGTCATATCTCAGCGAAAGTTCAACGTATTTTTGAAATTTCAAATGTTAGTAAAAAGTAAAGTCAATTTATTGTACTTTAAGTTAAAATTATCAGACTTTTTTTTTGAGGTGTGGATCTCTTGGGGAAGGGATCATTGTAAAAATAAACACATTAACTGACATATTTTGATGTTAGAGTCTCAGTTGTATATATTTGTTTAAGCCACGATTACTCTGTGCTGCTGAGTACGTTTTTAAAAATGTTTCATACAAGTGAGAAAAAAATTGCGACCCTCTCTCTGATTAGTCTTAGCATGTCATGTGCTGCCCATAAACGTATAACTTAGTCCCATGTAGAAAAATAGCAAGCCGAGAAAAACGCATTTTATTTATTATTTCTATCATGGTATCTTATGGCTGGAACAATCAACTTGTGGACGTTGTGGTATTTTGTTTCGGATAAAAGTCAGGTAGTTAATAATCGATTAATTTTTGCCAAAAACAGTCACCGCGGACTGTTATGCATTTATGTGCAGTGTAAAGTTCCATCGATTTCCCAAACCCATGCCTTCTTTCTACTACCACGCTTCAAATTAGTGCTCATTTCCATTATAAGTGCAATTTATGAAACGAACATTTATTTGTAACTTTGCGGTACAATTATGCCACGGCTACATACTTTTCGATAAAACAACTTAAACGCTACAGATTTTTTTCTGTTTCCTAAGCTTAATACACATTTACCTTACTCACACCTATAAATGGTTCCCTTCGGTTCACTAGCAAAACACGCTCACATCTACATCGCTGGCACACCTACAACTGTTAATAGTCCTATTCCACTCTCTTGCATTGCAAATCCTTCGATATCAAAAATATATCCCTTTTTTAGGTTGAGTATGTTGCTCACTTGTCCTCTCTTGTAATACGTGCAACTGTAAGATTAGATATGCTAGTTTTTTTTAAACTCGTTTTTAAAATGGACGAAGCAAGTTTTTGAGTGGTTGCAAGCAAGTGAAATCAAATAATTTTAAACTTAAAAGTAAGATAAAATAGTGGAATTCCAAAGAGATACTTTGTGTTTTGTAACAGCGGTTCTATCGAGCAGAAGCGCTCATATGGCCATTTTTGTTCCCTTCCTCTAACTAACTACTTTTCTTTGCGTAAGGCTTCTTTCACTTCCATTTCCTTTGATTCCTTCTCTATCACATTGATTTTCTTTGAGAACATGATAACCGTTTTTTGATTATTTCTTCTTTGTAGCAAACTGTTTGAACCGAAGTGTTGATTAAAACATCATTAAAATAAAATGACACATCTTTCCATCTAAAAGACATCGTAATCTAGGGCGTTAAAAACTATGACATTTACAGATTTACAAATATTTATACTGAAACAAGCGTCCACGTTATTTCACGTTGGATGAATTCCTAATTAGCGAAAGAAGCAATATGAACGCACACACTTTGGCATTTTGTGGTTCCCCTTCTACTGGAAAACGGCAGCTCGCTGTTGGAACTGCTGCCGTCGGATAACCCGTTCCTCCTCCATTTGGCGTTTTTCCTCTTGCTCTTGCCTGTCAACAAATACAGCATAAGGGAAAAAAAACAATCAATATTACAAAACGTGATTGAAAATTTAATTCCCATTCGGTGCTAACCTGATTTCGTCGTGGAATTTATTCGTCATCAATTGCTGCTCGATTTTGGCCTCGAAGAAGTTCTTCGCCCCATTCACGCCGACCTCGTCGACGTTGATCTCGGTGAGGCGAGCCAACTGGCCAAGCCCGGAGTCGGACTCCAGCTCGCCGGCACGTGCTTTTCTGTAAGGGTAATATTTTTCCTTTGCATTCATCGGATAACGAATGAGTCACGTCTGTTTAGCACTCACCTGTAAATGAGGAGGAACTCTCGGAAGGAAATCTTGCCGTCGTTATCTTCATCGACTTCTGCGATCATTCCCTTCAGGCCAAGGTGGGTCTGTGGGGCACCCAGTTTCTCCATCATCATCTTCAGCTCGGTTAGATCCAGGTAGCCATCATTGCCGACGTCATATCTAAAGGTAACGGGTAGAGAGAAGAACGGCAACGGATTAAATAGTAGGTAGTTAATCACACAGTCAAAGGAGGCGGGTCTGAGTCATGGTTAGATGATGTGACACGAGGATTCGTTTGTGTTTGTCGCCTGCTAAGTGATGTGAAACTTCCGTAAATGGAAGGTTGGATATAATCTTTGCTGCTACTTGTTTTATCATCAGCATATTAAATGCTTGCAAAAGGCTTCTATGAATATTAGTTCATTCCTATTATAATGCAAAACTGTATGAATCACGAAAGTAAGTCTGCCCAGACGCCTATCATGTTATATACACTAGCTTGATATCAAATGCCATACTAAAAATAAATGGCGTAGTGAGGGTTAATTTCACTCTTGGCAATCTTTTGAAATGACGCCGCTTTCCAAATTGAAAAAAATAAGTGCCTGGTTTTGACGGAGCCGGTGAACCAAATGGAAAAACTTTCCCGGAGACACAGTTTACCTGAAATTAATGATTTAGGCGCAAACAATTATAGTTTCCTCCCATAGAATGCAGGGCTCCAGAAACCACGTGGACAGTTTTTGGGAGATTTTAGACCGCCCATCCACCTGCGTGAACAACCATCCTTATAAATATTATACTTTTTAAAATTAATTGCAAGACAACCAAGAAACGATGGAAACAATTCTGACAAAGAAACGATCCCTTCGAAAAATACAAAAAATACAACATTTTTTCGAAAACAGAGATGAACCAGCCTACGGCTGAAAGTCTCTTAAATAAATAAAACAAACCAACCATCCCTTCGAATAATATCCCTCTCATCTCTATTATGTGAACTGCATCTCATCAATCAACATAATGTCTCCACGACAGGGTCGCAGACACCGATGAATTTCATGGACGGCTATTCTCCTGATAGCGTCTATCGCTTCTGTGTGATGAATGAATCATCCTGTCCACGACTGGGTAAGTATTTACTTGTCCACCAGTGTCGCGAACATAATTACAAATTTAAACAACCACCGGTTAACCAGTCTCTCCCCTTTTGCTCAAGTGTACTTTACTGATCACAGTAGGTACGCATATATCCCACCATCCGGGAACAAAGAGCTATTATGCGATTGACGAATGGAACGTTCTCCTGACTACATACCTATCCATAGTAGGGCGTGAGGACGTTACACCCAAAAGGCACTTGCACTAAAATTTAAACTTGTAATGAGGATAATAACAAAGGAAGTAACTAGTTTTGTTATCAACACGAACGAATAATAATGATTCAAATGGGGGAAGGCATGGCACTGTGTTCAATTACGCATATTGTACTGAGGTGGGGTATGACTCATAAAGTAGATTCAGCAGAAACGACAAACAGACACCTATCAAAGCTGTTACAGGGAAGTAAGCAGTTGATTGCGATATGGCGTTGGGCTTTCTCGAGTAATAGCAATAGGCGTCATCTCACTTTCGTGCCGGTGCCAGTGTGTTGTTTGTGCTTGAGAGGGGATTTGCTTATTCCATCATTCTGCAAGACACCGCAAATCGGTGACTCAGTCTAGACGATTCAGCCACCGCAAACGTGAATGTGGAAATCAATCGCAAGCTCGGATCGGTGTTATTGGAAGCAGATAAAATAAACGTTATTCAATGTTTCTGCTTTCCACGAGTGATACGCACGTGTGGCATGTAATTTAGCTCCAGATTAATTCAATTATTGCGATTACGAATAATAATTAATCATTTTGATAAAAGGTATCTAAATGTTTTTAGATCCATCTTAAACCATTCTATGCAATTTATTTCAATTCCAATATGCTGTTTTGACAACTCAGTCAAAAAAAAACATCAACCGAACGAAGTAGGCGAGAGAAATCAGATCGTAATCTCTCAACCACAGACAAACAGACATAACACATTTAATATTTTCCACTGTAAAACATCGTTACTAAAACACTACAGCCATCTGTTGAGCAACCGCAAAGGTCTTGGGTTCAATCCCCGTGCGCCGCCGGGATTTTCTGAGGCGTCTTCCTTCGTCCCCGGTCCAAGAGTTGATGGGTTGATAGGTAGGGTCCAGGTGTGGGAGCTACCACCCTGGCGTCGGTAGCATTGGCACTCAGTACGGAAAACAAGATCGACGGAAAACAAACCAACGAAAAAAAAAACTGTTGAGCACACTTTCATGGGCAGTACGGTTAACAGATGGCGGTAGTGTGTAAACGTCATATGCGGTGGTACTGCCAACTAAGATAAATTTAGGCTGTCCGTTAAATACATGTTCGATGAAAAACACGCAAGAGTTATGTCTGTTTGTCTGTGAATCAACAATTATCAATTCCCTATGGGTGATCAATTAAAATCGATCATTGATCACTTCGAATTCACTCTGATTGAACCAATCACAATCAACATAAATACAACAACATTCAAATTTTACACTCTCTTCGCTTTTGTAAACAATGAATAGGTGGTAATTGCAAGTTGTAAAATACTAATTGATAAATTTCAGTGGCAATCGATCGGCATGCTTATGAAATCGAAAGCTACAACATAAGTGGTTTTACTCACTCTTTTCCTTCCTTCGAAACGGGGTTATTCTGGTGCTCTGTATTTAGACATTTGGTACGCTTGTTTGCCCAATGGTTATGAAATGATCAATCCGGTATGGATGAAATGAAAGAAATCGATAATTATGATGCATTGCATAATAGAACTGCTCTCGGAATTGTTTGTATCTTCTTGATCGATTTTCCATTGGAAATATCTTTTCCTTTCGCACGATTACAAGGCATGATTATTTGAGGGAAAAGTCACGGTCAATGTTGTAAAGCGATTATTATCACCAATCGCCGATACCGGGCAATTCTTCAATTTCGAAAAAAAAAACTGATGGTCTCTGCGAGCGGATTTTTTTCTTCTTTCGTTTCTATCGGCTTTTCAAGGTGAGGAGTCATTACTTATGAAGACTCTTTCCACTGTTCTTCTATGGGGATGAGGCGGACGATGCTCTTATACAAGTGAGTGAGTGAATACTCAATTAGCGTGCGTCATTTGGGCTTAGTAAGTTCAATTAACAGAAATGAAAGCTACTGAACAAATGTTTCAAACATGTAAGATGTAACAAAGTGGCTGACGGTAGTAGCAAAAAACATCGATCGACATTGGCTCATACGGTAGTAGGTACCTGATGACTGACTGGAGCAAATGTGATGATGTGAAAAAAGAAGTCTAATAACATGCCGCATCGTGAAACGAAAGCGAGAAACATCGAAAATGAAAGGAAAAGTGAGAGATGAAAACTCACATTGGCTTTATTGGTCTATTAATTAGAGACGGCGTAGGCTCTAATCATTGCCGAAATGTTGCTCTTTGTTGGCTTTTGCTTTTGATATTCGGGTCGACTTCATTTGCATGCATACAAAAACCTGAAGTGCATTCTGCCGCCGCGAGAATTAATAAGAACATGATTTTGAATGAGCAATGCTGAGCATCTTCTTGGTGGTGTAGAAACTTTTCTCGGCTCAAATTCACCTTAGGAGCCCTTGAAACGCAACTCGAGGCAAGTGCAAAAATGTTTGTCCGCCACTTCCACGGCAAGGCCTACTTAAGAGGCGCTTGCCCAAGGCAGTGGTAAAAAGCAGCAGCAATGATTGCTTCGATTACCCGGTATACGTTCTGTACGATCTCGCACATTATTTTATTTACCAATACGGTTAAGCGTATTTATTGCAGCACGAGCACGAGTATCCGATTATAGCTGCAACATGTTGTTTTGATTTGTTGTTTTACCTCGACCGGTAACTTGAGTATTGTAAATACATATTTCGGTTTCATGTACAGATGTAATGTAATGAGTATTCTATTACTAAGCAACGCAAAACAATTTCCATCTTTTCGAAATTGGATACAAGTTCTTGAACTTTTGGTGCGTTCAAGCACCCGCGTAATATGTTACCAAGCCAGTGAGTAAATATTTGCTACGATTCAATGATAATGAGAGTAAAACTGAAATACAATCTATCTTATTGTGACTTAGGCGCACTCGGAGATAAAATTACGCCATTTATTTTCATTTGCTTTATCTCACCCGGAGAATGACGAAGCAGCTGATGAAGGAAGTCAAGACGTTTGTACACCGATAAACATAGCATCCAGTGTGTATTACTGAAGTTAATTACATTTTAAATGCACAGATCTCAAACGCTTCGAAATCAGGAAGTCTATTATCACCGTCACGTCACTTCATTTTTTTTTTCATCGTGCCAGAAAAGTGATAAAAAAGTGACGTCCTGAATCGCTCCAGTGCTAGATAAGTGACAAAAAAGTGACGTGACTCGCCATAGGGATTTTTTCAATGATTCTAAACGTTTGCTTATAAACGTTTAATGTTTTGATTATTCTACAGGCTGTAAATTTGGGATTGCGCATGTTTCTTCCTCCTCTTTTTATTTATTTAGCCTTGTGCGTAAATGTTCGCTATAGCATGACTCTATTTCTGATTCGGTTAAGGTATTTATCGAGTTGAAATATTTATTGTCTTTTTTTAGCGTAGAGGTACAACGATGTGCATTATATCTGCTACATAATATATAAATGCAAAAATGACAAGGGTCTGTTCAAATACTACGTAGTGGGGGGGGGGGGGGGGGTATTCATAAACCCAATACTTTGCGTTACGTGATATTTGAACGAACCTCATGATAAGAAAACTCAATTTGTGGAAGTGCTCAAAGATAGGTATTGAGTGACAGTTGGGGCGTAATATTCTAGAAGAATAGTCATAGTTATTTGAATTAATTAATGAAAATTAACATGGACACTTTTATTAATTCAAGAGTTAATTTTCAAATAGCCGTATCTGCTATTATAAACGAAAATTAATACCACCATCATGTTGGGTAGGTGTAGCAGCGCCGATGGTGTAGTGGTAAGCGTGATTAACTTTCACCCCAGCAGGCTTGGGTTCAATCCCATTCGGCGCCGCCGGGATGTTCCAAGACATAACATCTCTGATC